AGTTAACCTGCAGTGCAGGACAAGCAATGATGTGGAACTCTCCTCTATCTAATCGAGCCTCATTCATTCCCCATGGAACATGTGAAGGGAAACTCCACCGCTTTTCCAAAATTTCAGCATAATCACAAGGTTATGATGTAAACAGAGTCGTTCAGAGTGGTTCGGTGTGAATGGTCCATTCTGGAGAAACTTACCGAGTCAAAATTATTCACAGTGGTGGTGATAGGAACCAGACATCCACCTCTAAAAGCTCCCTCTAAAATGAATATTGATTAGCATTTCAAGTGTAAAATAAAGTCTCTTATATTGAACAACATCGGTAAAGTTGTAGCACCACTGACAAGCTGAGATATAATTCGCTTTCAGACATCTGATCAGAGAAAATACTATTAAAACTGTGAATATTTAATATTATATTTAATATTCGTCGTACTGTGTTGCCCTAAATCCAGTTAAACGGGACTAATTTTGCTCTCTCTATAATAAAACATGCAGGTGGTCATTGTTCTAAGTACTAACGATGTACACAGACCAATCAGAAAGGCATATTGTATTGTATTGTGACATAATTTATCATGATAACGATATATCCTGTCATATTGCTGAGCCCTATTATGTAGTAATATTACAAATATTGCATTTATTTTGTGTTTTATTTAAATTTTCAATTCAGTTGTACTGTTTCATGAGTGACACCACTGACAGATCTTTTCACCACATAACAAAAGCTTTTCAGAGGTAAAGCTTCCAGGGTTCTTTAGTAAAGAAAATGGTTCTATACAGAACCATGAACACTCAAAGAACCCTTTGCATGATTAAATGGTTCTTTGCATCATGAAAGTGTTCTTCAGATTGATGGAGAATGTGCTGTAGATGGTTTTATATAGAACCTTGTTGAAAAGGGTTCTATATAGCACCCAAAAGGGTTCTTCTGCTGTTACAAACTTAACACCGTAACAATAGAAGAACGCTTTTGGGTGCTATAGAGAACCCTTTTCACAAAGATGCTTAAAACATGCTTTTAAAATACATTCATGGTGGAGGGATACATGCAGGGCATTATGAGGCCAAATAGTCCCCACAAAACTAATATGTTTTTCAGATTTATCACTATTTTACCATCATCAACATTCCAGAAGACTCGTGTAGGTTCACTGGTGGTTCTGGATAGTAAATAATCAACATTTCACACCAAACCACTCTGAATCACTCTGTTTACATCTCAGCGACTGAATTATGTGGAAATTTTGAAAAATGAGTGGAGTTTCCCTTTAAGCATTGGCCATTGCACTACATCAGTTTTTGCTGTGCCTGGTTCTCATTCTGGACTGATTTGTAGGCCACGTTTCATTGGGTACCATTCACTGCCATACAGTTTTCAGACTCAGCCAAGTTGTTTTTTTTATGGATTATGTTGCTCAACTTTATTGTTTTTGACAGAATTTTTATTTGTTGTTGTTTCTCTTGACTGGTTCTTGGCTCACGTATGAATTGTGGAATCATTTTGAATGTACGACTCAAACTGCATGGCTTATATTTTTTAAATCTTGCATTCTTCTTGCGGTGATGTGATGTGATCCCGTTTGCATCCGCTCACTCTAATGCATGTGGAATTCGTTTAAAGCGATGCGTCACATATTCCGGCCTCCGCTACGATCCTGGCTTTTCTGACCCACGTTTTGATAAAGTCTTCATGCGAAACTGTGCGTATGAATGTCAGCGTTCTCCCGTTTTTGCATTCTTCTCTTCGTCCCTCTGAGTTGCCGATGAAACCTAAAGAATCAGACTGAACTTGTGGAATTGATCTGTATGAATAGCAATATTTGCGGAAACCAGGACTCCACTGTTCTTAAAGAGAAAGGAAAAAATTGCTGTTTGTTTAGCTCTTGTAATAAAGCTGTTTTTTTCCAGATGCAAATGGACTCTGATTCTGATTCTTTATACGGAACAACAGTTTATCATATACAGTCATCATGGAACATCTATAAAACCCAGTAACTATAAGCACTGTGACCAAATATGAGATGTTAAAGGAGTCAAATGAAATGGAGAAGAAATGCTATGATTAAATATTAGTTTTTAATAATTACCTAGAACCTACACTCTTAAAACCACTGACGAACAGGGTAAAAGGGGGCTAACAAAGTATCAGAGAAACAGATGGACTACAGTCTGTAACTGTAGAACTACAAAGTGCACCTATATAGTAAGTGGAGCTGATAAAATGGACAATGAGCGCAGAAACAAGGATGGTCATAATGTTACGCCTGATCGGTGTATGATGTGGAGTGAAAAACTCCTGACCTGACGCTTATGACTTTTAAATGATCATTCCAGGCTGTACAGGACGCCTGTTTTTCTTCTCCTCAGTCAGTAATGATTAACAAAACAATCTTACATAGTGCAGCTTTAAGTTAATTTCTGTTTACATTACGTTTCTAACTGACGTTCCCACGTAAATACAACCAACACACAATCACACACCAGAAAAGAAGAGGCTGGAATTTAGTTGTTTAGCTGTTTTATATGTCTGGACTGTCTGTAGAGCTCTTAAACATGGCTCTACGTCAGTGTGTGTGTTTAGAGCTCAGCTGTTTACAGTAAACGTCCAAACAGTGAGGCTGCTAGTGTGTTTTTCTGAAATCCCAGATTATGCAGCTTCAGGCGCTGCCAGTTAGACACCTGTTCACTGTGAGAAAGCAAACCACCTTTATGGTTTTAGCATCTTCGTGTTTATTTACTTGCTTTTTTAATAACCACCTCACAGTCGGCTAAACAGCTGTCCCTTACCTGCACTCGCAGCTCTGAGCTGCAGGGAGACACTGAGCCAGGCTGAAGGTGAGACAGTGAGGAACAGGGTGTGAATAATTTATCACAGCACACTGAAGCATGCAGTATTCACCCAGACGTTCTCCAGGCCTTTAGAGGAAAAACACGGCCCAGCATGCTGAAGACATGCAAATGCAAACTAACATTTATTATTATTATTATTATTATTTAATATTACAGTGAAAAGCAAAAGTCAAATTTTGCATATAACCAGCCAAATAATGTTTTGTTAATTTGAACACATCCTCTACAGAGAACACACTTAAATATGGTGTTTGTCTGCTAATTTTAGTGCACAATTTCTATTTGTTTACTGTGTTTAACATATTAGAAAAACATAAAACATAAAATATAAAAGGTGCCTTAACTTTTGCACAGGCCACATTTTTTCCCAATGTGTTAAATGCAGCAAATAAACAGTAACTGTAGCATTAAAATGTGCAGTCGTGTGTCTCTGTAAAGGATGTGTTTATTTATTTACACTTAGAAAACCAACAAATATATGGAATTTGACCCCCACCAGTCACCGGTGTATGTTATATAAAACTACAATGATTTTTTTCCCCAGAAATCCTTGGAATATGACATCTGAATATCCTGTTTGCCCACCATTTGCCTTTTTATTTTCAAAACTGCCATATAGTGTACGGTCATATGCAAAAGTTTCAGCACCCCTGGTCAAATTCCATGTATTTGTTGCTTTTCTAAGTGTAAATAAATAAAATCATCCTCTACAGAGACACACTTCTGCACATTTTAATACACAATCACTCTTCACTTACTGCATTTAACACAAACAATAAAGCATGTGGCCTGTGCAAAAGTTATGGCACTGTATGTCCCTGTAGAGGATTTAAAAAATTAACCAAACATGTTACATGAGATGACTATAACTGAGTAATTGAGAAATATAACTGGCCAAAAATGCTAGTAATATCAATATACTCAGCCATGAAATACTACGTACCACATGTAATACTAGCCTATGTAAGAAATTCCCAAGAGGCTTAGAAATTGTATACATGTTATAATAGTTACGATATTACAGGTGAAATCACCAGGCCAGGGTAAAACACCGGGCAGTTTAACACTAGATATTACATTCATTCTATTTCATTTAATATTCAGATTAGTTATGACGTTTACTTAATTTGCATATATGGTAGGACCAGGAGACATTTTTAGATTTGGGAGGCATAAATGCATGCAGCGAATTTTATTTTATATAAATTATATATATTATGTAAACGAGGCATCATGGACGGTGGTGTATGTCATGTATTTATTAAGTTATTTAACAGGGAAATAATGCACTTGGTTATTGAATATGAAATGGCATATATAGCATTATATATTAAGCAATTTAATATTGCATACCAAATATGAATTGCTGTACTATATGTGGTAAGTCACCAATGCTGTTGAACATTACATTACAAATTATATATATATGTATTTTAAAATGCATGTTTTAAGTATTCTTACACAGCGTCTCAGACATCAGGCAGTGAATTCATAACCATTTCATGTAGTAACTTTCTGTGAGGGAGCAAAATTTCAAAATTTCAAATTTTGAAAAATTGGTGCAATTCCCCTGTAATGACCCCCTGTTCATTGCTGTTATTTGCTCACTGCTTATAATTAGATCAGAGGGAACGTTACACAGGTGTTTGCATGTTTGCACGTGGCCACGACTTAGTAAAGCATGGGAACGAGATCACAGCTTACTAAGTCGTGGCCGCGCATTAGGATCTCGTTCCCGCGCTTTACCGAGTCGTGGCCAGGACTTAATCATCTCATTCCCACGCCTTAATAAGTCGTGGCCACGCATTAGGATCTCCTTCCCACGCATTAATAAGGCGTGGCCATGCACTATTTTTATTATACAAGATGTCACCAGTGGGGCTCCGTATGGCGAGATCCTAATGTGTGGCCACGACTTAGTATGGCGTGGGAATGCGATGAATAAGTCGTAGCCACGACTTAGTAAAGCGTGGGAACGAGATCACGGCTTACTAAGTCGTGGACGTGCATTAGGATCTCGTTCCCACGCTTCACCAAGTCGCTTTATTAAGGCGTGGGAATGAGATGATTAAGTCGTGGCCACGCAATATTTTTATTTATACAGGATGTCACCAGCGGGGCTCCGTACCGTAGTAAGTAGGAAGTGTGAATCATATGAAGTGGGAGTGAAGCAGCGAAGCAGGCCGGACTCTGAACTCACTCTCTCGGTAAGCTCCAGCCCGGGCCGCCTTTCCTCTCCTTTCAGCCTCTTTAACTCAGGTACCGCATCTATATTTAACCTCCTCTGTGTACTTCTGTTTTTTTCCACCCTGCCCGCTCGAACAGCGGCTGCAGTCCGCGGGATTAAAGGCTTAACGAAGCCGGTGAGCGCTGCTCTGAGCCGCGGCGGCTAAGAAGGTCAGGGCTTTAGCTTTAGCGTTAGCCTCAGCTAGCCAGTCGCCGTTGGGGCGCGTTCATTCGTTAGCAGCGTTAGCACGACGGAGCGGCTCCATTCATCCGACTAACTTCGCCGGGATGGAGTGGGCGAGCCAGTTATGCGTGAGTGGATACGAAACAGTGATTGTTTGTCACGGAAACCAGTTTCTTGCCTTTGTTTGGGTTCGTAAAGGTGTTTTTGGTGGAAAACGTCGGCTTTAGCTTAGCGACGGTAGCTAGCCGCGTTAGCTTAGCCTAGCCTGTTTGGTTGAGTTTCAGCTTGTGTTGTTTTTCACTTTTATTTGTTATGACGAGAAAACAGTAAGAGTTAAATGCTGTAGAGGAGAGAAGAAGGACGGCTCACATTAGACAGAAACCTGTCAGTGCTGGATATCGGGATAATTGGCTGGTTTTGCCCGCTTTAATGCAGCTCGTATCTGCGGTGTAGCTATCTAGCTTACACGGCTGTTGTAAACATTAGATAAAGTTATCTCAGTTCTGCATTTGGGGGAGAATTGAAAGAATTAAAACTGTTTATTTGGGTGGTAGCAGCCCGTTACTTGAACTGACAGCACTACTGTTTTAGCTATCGCTTGCTAATTAACTTAGAGCTCTTCTGGCTTAAAGGGGACTTCCACCAGTCTTTCTAAATTTCCACATAATTCAGTCGCTGGGATGTCAACAAAGCCGTTCAGAGTGGTTTGGTGTGACGTGGTTCAGATTTCTTTAAGTTTCAGGTTTGTTTGTCATTTGCACAACATGTCAGGACATTCACGCATTGAGATGCTTGTGGAGAGGCTCAGATAATCACTCTACAGAGAGTAAACACAGTAAAAACAAAAATACAAGAAAATACTGAACTGAAATATTTTAAATATACACAAAATATAGAGACAGGAGTGACCTATGTAAGGAGAAAAAACCTCTCTGCTATGTACAAATATATTAATATTAAACAAGGGATAATCTGTGAACAATATATACATTTTAAAGTGACTTAAGTGACTCAGTGTTATTGGTAATTAAAGTGACTTAGTGTTAAAGTGTAATTGTCCCATAGCAGTAATATAATAATAATAATAATAATAATAATACTGACAAAGTGACTGAGTGAAATGGTAACCGGTGAAGGACCCACAGCTTCACAGCTTGTTCAGAAGCCTGACAGCCTGTGGGTAGAACCGGGTTGTTCTAGGCTGAATGCTGCGAAATCTCCTGCCTAATGGCAGGATGGTGAACAGGCTGTGTGCTGGGTGACGCTGTCTGGACTGGTAGATGTCCTGTAAGGCTGGTAGTTTGTTGCCTGTGATGGCTTCTGCCGTCCTCACCGCTCCTTTAAGGGCCTTGCGGTCGCAGGCAGTGCAGCTGCTGTACCAGACAGTGATGCGGCCTGTGAGGATGCTCTCTATGGTGCATCTGTAGAAGTTGGCTCACACTGCTGACTCTCTCCACTTCGGCTCCATTGATGAATAGGGGAGAGCGAGCGCCCCTCTGCAGCTTCCTGTAGTCCACATAGTCCGCTTTACAGTGGTGGTGATGGGAACCAGGGGTCGCCATGTCTACAACACAAATATGGACATTTTATTCATTATCCAAAACCACCAGTGAACCTACACGAGTCTTCTGAGTTTGTATGGAATGTTGATGATGGTGAAATAGTGATAAATCTAGAAACTAAGTTTTATTAGGGCCTACATTGCCTTATAACACACTTTGTATCTTTGCACAATTAATTGATCAAAATAACTTCTCGTAAAGCTACTGAGAAACAGTGTCTCAGATGTCAGGCCACGTATTCATAACCATTTTGTGTGTTTACTTTCTTTGAGGAAGCTTTTAGAGGTGAACGTCTGGTTCCTATCACCACCACTGTGAACAATTGGTATGTTTCTCTAGAACAGAGCGTTTCACAACAAACCACTCTGAACGACTCTCAGCGATTAAATGGTGCAGAAGTTTAGAAAAATTGTTGGAGTTCCCCTTTAACTACATTAATGCAGCTATAAACAGGCATAAATATCAAGTGATGATGTGGGTTAGGGACGGATTGATATGGGAGTTGTGGCCAAATCTTCCAATGTGGTACATAAACATTTTAAAAAATGTAGAAAATAGGACTATATATACCTGGATTAGCATTATAGAACAGTTTAAAATCCATTTCTGTAGGGTTTGAATGTAGATAAATGAAACACAGATATTTTAGCGCAGTGACCCACCTGCACCTAACCGTTCTGCTCTTGTCGAGTACGATAACTACGGCAAGAAATATAATAATCTAATAATCTGTCCAATGCTGATTATTTCATTTTAAGCAGTTACGTGCTGAAAACAGTATGAATACGATATCGTCTGTTTTGGCAATACATACCATGAGATTGAATGTGATCAATATCACACAGCTCGGATTTGTGCTACTGTTAACCTGCTTAACCCTGACGTTAGCTTAGCCAAAATGTTTGACTGGCTGCCTTAAACAAACTTCATTTGTTTGCCTTGTGGTTGAAGGAATGATCCACTAAAAAAGCAAGTTTTCCCAGTTTTTCCTCCCCTTACTCCCCTTACTTATTAATCAACATATATATATATATGTGTGTGTGTGTGTGTGTGTGTGTGTGTGTGTCAGTCCATTTTATCAGCTCCACTTACTATATAGGTGCACTTTGTAGTTCTACAGTTACAGACTGTAGTCCATCTGTTTCTCTACTTTGTTAGCCCCCTTTTACCCTGTTCTTCAGTGGTCAGGACCCCCATGGACCCTCACAGAGCAGGTACTATTTGAGTGGTGGATCATTCTCAGCACTGCAGTATCACTGACATGGTGGTGGTGTGTTAGTGTGTGTTGTGCTGGTCTGAGTGGATCAGACACAGCAGTGCTGCTGGAGTTTTTAAACACCTCAGTGTCACTGCTGGACTGAGAATAGTCCACCAACCAAAAATATCCAGCCAACAGCGTCCTGTGGGCAGCGTCCTGTGACCACTGATGAAGGACTAGAGGATGACCAACACAAACTGTGCAGCAGCAGATGAGCTATCGTCTCTGACTCTACATCTACAAGGTGGACCGACAAGGTAGGAGTGTCTAATTGAGTGGACAGTGAGTGGACACAGTGTTTAAAAACTCCAGCAGCACTGCTGTGTCTGATCCACTCGCACCAGCACAGCACACACTAACACACCACCACCACGTCAGTGTCACTGCAGTGCTGAGAATGATCCACCACCCAAATAGAACCTGCTCTGAGAGGGTCCATGGGGGTCCTGACCACTGAAGAACAGGGTAAAAGGGGGCTAACAAAGTATGCAGAGAAACAGATGGACTACAGTCTGTAACTGTAGAACTACAAAGTGCACCTATATAGTAAGTGGAGCTGAAACAAGTTACAGTTTCAAAACATATCATTCACAATCCAGTGCATATATGGAAGGTAAGCCTGTTTTGAATTCAGTAGTTGCTTTTAGCAGTTAAGCCCCGCCCATTCACACTGAAGTTAGTGATTTAGCCTGGGCTACTTTTTCAATAAGGTATAATACAGGGCAGCCAATCAGAACAGAGCTCATTTACATATGTCTTAAAGGCACAGTCTGTTTAATTCTAAGATCTAAAGAGACATACTGTAGAAATGAATTATGAAAAATGCGGGATATGGGCCCTTTAAGTCCTCTCTGTAGTCCGAAGCGCTGTTTGTGTTTGCAGGACCTCAGTGCTCTGGAGGTGAGGGTTACAGAGATTCTGGATAACAGGAAACGGGGAAAGTGCTGTGTTCTGCAGGGTCGGAGCCGGAGAGGGGAGGGGCGGCGGCTGGACTGGCTGACTAAGGAATAAAGACTGTAGAAGTGTGTTTGTAGGGGCTTTTTTGCAGGGCTGTAAGTAAACTGCAGCAGTGAGGGTCACCAGGGTAGAGATAGAGAGCTTCCTTTAGTTTTCATGAACACGCACTTCTGGACTTTCCCGTCTCCACTGTTATCTTTTTAACACCATCGCGCTCTCTCTCTCTTTCTCTTTCTCTCAGGTTGTGGTTGAAGGAGGTATATTTGAGAGAATATTGATAAGTTTTGCTTTTCTTGACTGCTTTTTTTTTTCTCGTGCAGGAAAACAGAGGCTTGGGATCCAAGATGACTGACTCGAAATATTTCACCACCACCAAGAAAGGTGGGTTTTTTGATGTTTTTCAGTTTTTGACATAATTGGAAAATGCCTGTTGTTCTTTATCTTGTATGTAAATTTCATGAGGAATGGACTAAAAGAAACGACCCAAAATGACTTGGAAAAAAGTCTGTAAAACAGGTTTTCTTCCGACAACAGCTATATATATATGTGTGTGTGTGTGTGTGTGTGTGTGTGTGTGTGTGTGTGTGTGTGTGTGTCAGTCAACCTTTTAACTCAGTTCTTTGAGGTAGATCCTCATTTACAGTGTGGCCGAGCCGATACAGAAATCAGGGATAAAGAAGTTGGATAGTAAAAAATACATTGCATGTGCTAAAAAGTACTAATAATTGTAGTGCAGGAATTTAATAGAATAAAAGTAAAGATATCAACAAACTATTAGCATAACAATAGATAAATAACAGATCGATAAGGATAAAAAAAATAATAAAACCTAATTAATGAAATATATAGGAAAATATGAGATGTAAGACAAATTACCAGTAAAAAATAAAAAAATAAATAGCAAGAACAAGATATATATATCCTGTTCCACAAATGGTTAAATGCCTTATTTTTTACATTTTACATATTATTATTGAAATATATTTGTGATATTACTCAGTTGGAATGGTTTCCAGTGTACTATTAAAAGCACAGAAAAACACAATTTAGAAAACAAAACTGCGCCTGAAACTATTTACACTGTTTATTTAAGTTTATTTGTCTTTTAAAAAACTGAAGGGCCGGCAACTTATTTTCTTAACTAGAACCAGGTTGATCAGCTGGCCAACAAGCTTGATTAATATCAGAAACTTTGAATTAAGGTACTTACTGTATGATTCATTGTAAAGCTGCAATGTAAAGAAGTAAAGAATGAGTTTCAAGTGTTTTGGTCAGCATTAAACCCATAAATCCAAGCTGACTCCTTCCTATATAGTGCGCTATGTAAGTCATGAAATTCGGGCTTCTACACTGAAACAGTGCACTGGTATCACCAGTGGTATCACCGATACCGATACTGCATTTAAGTGTCAGTATTGGTTCAGTTACCGACAGTGCAGCAACCCTAATAATTTGTGTATTTTATCATATTTTACGTTTAATGCTGTTTTATAAAACCATTAAGCCAATTATTGCTTAATATTGCTTTATTAAGTACCTTTCCAAAAAATAAGAAGTACAAAAGTAGCATCTCAAGAAACAACTGAAGTAATGAGTATCTTCTAGAACTGCAGTGGAACTTCTTAGTACATCCAGCATCTTTCAGCAAAGGAAGTGACGTTTGTTATATTCTGTTTTTCTCTTTTTGGTCTAAAATAATGGACTAAATCTCTGAAGTGGGAGGTGTGACCCATCACAGAGCAGCATGTGTGCTAAACCAACACAACAGAATAAAATTGAACCCCAAATAACTCGATGTTAATGATTAAAATGGAACATATTAATGAGTTAAAATGTTACTGAGTGAAAAGTAGATTACTCTCCTCACTAAGATGCTTGAGTAGAAGTGAGAGTATCAGTTGAAGAGTACAGATTAATCACAATTTCACATAGAACTGAGTGAATGGAACCAGTTACTATTTGTGTATCATTACACTGACCTCAGGTATCTTGCATGTCACTCAAAACAAATAAGTTCCCCGTAGTCGAGGGTAAGAAGGGGCAATTAGCTGAAAATGTCAAAAACACATCAGAGAGTGTCAGACGGGAAACAGTTTCACTCTGATTTGCGCAGAATAATTACCTTTCAGTGACATTGCAGAGCATTCAAGCTCATTAAATATAATTAACCAGGAGCCACCCACGTCTAAAAGCCTCAGCGTGATTCTCAAACGAGGCTCATGTTTATCACACTGGAGGCCTTTTTGTGTCACTGTGAAAGCAAACTAATAACCCAGGCACTATTTTTTTGGGGGAAAAAGGACAAAAATCACCCCCCTTGTAAAAGCGCCATCCACATTTCCATCTCTTTTGATTAATATAATGTGAATTCTCTGAAGTCTGAAATGGAAAATCTATAGAATTAAAAAGAGCGTATACTTTGTTTTGTAACAGCAATCACACCAGACTGTCACCTGTCACGGTTTTCTTTGTGGTGTGGAGCAAAAATTCAGATGGTTATGGATTTTTTTTCTTTTAATATTATGTTTATTAAGTATTTCAAATGCTCTCATTGGAAAACTGGAGAGATTTGACCAAACATACACCAGAAAATGTTTCCAAATATTATAGAAGACGTTCGTTTTAGAACGTAACAGGTGTGTCAAGTAGTCCAGAGATACATGCTCAAAAACAGCTCTGTCCCAGCTCGATATAGAGGGTGTTTTATCTGTTATCCGTTGTAATAAATACGTTTCCTCGCACAGAATATTAAAACATATTGACAGAGTTTTTCTATAACTTTTTAACTCCTTGGAACCACCGGTTGTTCCAAAACGCACTTCGTCATATTCTTTACTTCATAACTGTCATATTTTATGAGCTTCATTCTAAAGGTGGGGGTCGTATGAGAGCTGTAACTGTCTTCTTTCCAGTCAAATAGATGGGTGATGTAATTTTAAACCCGTATAATAAAAGAAGCTGAACTCACAATTTTTTTTCTACTGAAAGTCGACCCATTTTTCCACAAATCTGGGCTATAAACTATAAACAGATGGCGTCTCTTCAGTGATCTGCTCTGTAAACATTATTTTTATAAAATAATACAAAGAGTGTCTAAGATTTTTGGCTTTCAGCAGTAAATTGTAAGCATATAGCGATATGTGTATCATAAAACACATTCTCTGTTAATTTGAGGGGAACTTTCACAAAAAAAACCCCAAAATGTACATTTATTTCATGCAGTTACTGAATAATTTGCCTTACGATTTTGGGCATGAAATTCAGATGGACAAACCGAAATACACCCACGAGCTTAAGAGGTGTGCCAATATAATTATTTGGCAACCCAAGCAATAGATACGATGGATCCATTCTTACATCAGTTCCGAAAATCTTGTACAGGTTCTGTGAGATCTCTCCCCGAAACTTTTGAATTCTGTAACAAGTCCACAAACCAATGAGTGAGGCTCCTTGTCTCTACTTTACATTTAGGACACATGGGAGAAAAGTCCTCCTTAAACTTACTGCGATGACATGGAGATATGTGTGCTCTGTGTGCGTAGCTAATGAGTGTTAGCTAGAGCTGCAACAGTTAATCCATTAATCGATTAGTTGTCATCTATTAAATTAATCTGCAACTATTTTGTTTAAGCAAAATCTTTAAGAAAAAAAGTACAAATTCTCTGATTGCTGCTTCTTAAATTTGAATATTTTCTGGTTTCTTTACTCCTCTGTGACGTCAAACATCAAAGACGTTTGAGGGTGTCACCTTGGGCTTCGGGAATCGCTGAGAGACATTTTTTCACCGTTTTCTGACATTTTATAGACCAAACAGCTAATCGATTAATCGTAAAATAATCAACAGATTAATCGTCAATGAAAATAATCGTTAGTTGCAGCTCTACTGTTAACATTAGGATATTCCCTTAATATGTTATCGAGGAAGCTAGTAGATCTGTTGTGTTTGGGCAGAAAAGGCTGCCTTTCTATTCGAGAGGGTTTGTGTGTCTGTGTGAAGTGATGTGTCCTTTCTTACAAAGACCCTTACCTGAAAAAGCGAACCAAGTCATGTATGAATGACGTTATAGGCGGTTCTGATGTGAGGTGATTTTGACGGAAGCATAAAATTGAAATGCACAGCTAATGTTAGTATAAATTCCAGATCCAGGAGTGTCTGACGGTCAGAAGCATGACTGGGACACATACAGATGACTTTTGACGAAGCCGAAGTCGGCTTGTATTCAAATTTGTCGTTGCACCTTAAATGCTGTAGCACTTGCATTCAGGTGCCTGAATGTAAGAACGCAGCATTTAAGGTGTAATGGAAAATTTGAACAATAAAGCTGGCGAATAAGAAGCTGAATTCAGATGTGAAGCAACATTTAGCATCATTTTTGCTGGCTGAGGGTCAAGCGTTAGAAAGAAACACTGACTGTTGTTAAAATATGGTTCTTGTTAATCAGTAAAAGAACATCCCAGAATAATGAGCCACCGTTAACCTACAAAAGTAGGTTCACTCACACATCAGAAAATGTTTTTTATTAAAAAAATAATAGATTGTCATAGTTGGGTGAAATCTTGTATCTCCATTGTTTTCCGTTTTTCAACATAATCTAAAATCAGCTGTCCTTTGCATTGAGTGGATCAGTAGAAATGGCCCAAAACTATAACTTCTGTTAAAAGTTATGTTTAAAAGATAAAAGATATGTTTTATCCCTGTCCTGTAAAGTTACCTTTTCGGACATACAAGATTTTGTCCCGACAGCGACGATATTTACTGTGATATATAACAAAACTATCAGAAAGTTGTGGTTGTATAGTGTAGTGGGAAACATCTCTGCCTTCTACGCTGTAGCCTGGGGTTCAGTCCCCCGCCTAGGGCAGCACCCTTCACTATACCAATATGGCTGCGTTCACACAGCAGGTAAAAGTGGCCGAAATCTGATTTTCTCACCAAATTCAATTTTTTTTTGTTTGGCTGTTCACATTATCTTTTAAATGTGATCTGTATGCGTCATCAGCCTGAACAGATCAGCTCCTAAACTGACCCACATGCGAGAAAGAGCAGAGCTTCATGTGGCTCATCCAGAGGTAAACAGTCATGACGCCAGTCGCTCCCGGAGGTTTCAGTTTAATCTTCGCCAGCATCACAGGAGCGAGTATAAAGTTCCAGTGATTGACAGCTGGACTCATCACGCAGAATGTGTTCAAGTTTGCCATAAAAAGGGCGTGTTATTCTGCCGCGGCCACTTCTTTGGTTCGTGTCCTCGGATTCTTTAAACTGTTCTTTGGCGCTGCAGCCTCGGCCTCCTCCTCCTAAATGTTGAGTCTCAGCAGCGGAAATTATGACGAATGTTGAGTTAGATTGACGTAAAAGTCGCATGAATTCTGATCTGGCTGTTCAGACGGAGTCGCGTTGCCGCAGATCGGATACGTATCGGATTTCAGTACCACATATGAAAGCGTCTCGAATCGGAATTGAATGTCTGATTCAGTGTGTTTATCTGTTCACACTGACACACAGACACACCTCTGTGTCACATATGAAGAAAAAGATCGGATTCGGGCCACTTTTACCTGCCGTGTCAACAAAGCCTAAGAGTCCTTGGGCAAGACTCCTAACACTACCTTCACCTACCTGTGTAAAATGTAAAATTGTAAGTCGCTCTGGATAAGAGCGTCTGCCAAATGCCATAAATGTAAATGTAAAATTTTAATTATACTGTGTCATAAATTTTTGGCCAACTGCCATCTTCAAGAAGAGTTTATTTCCTGAACGTAAGAATCTGGGTGGAGTCTCTTTTGAGAGCCGCAGTTTCCCCGCAGAGCTTTGAGATTGGAGTTGTTTGAGTTTGTGATGAAAGCTTGCGGCACTTGCTGGTGGAACTGAAGATCCGTGTTTATATTGACTCACTGGTGTCTCAAGCTGAGCCTGACCTAAACAGTCTTGCGCCATCGTCACAGCACTGCTGAGTGTTATATTGCTGTTGATGGCGTCTTCTGTTTTTCTAACACAGACATGAGAGGGAGCAGAGTGGGCTGACTGTGTGAGGATGAACTCAGTCTTGCATTGAAAACACTGAAATGTAATATGTGGAGGGCCATGATTACTCAGTTACTCTCAAGTCTCAGTAACAATAAAAAATCAATCGATTGTTCTTGATGAATTGAATTCATTGTCAGTAATATTGCCAGCATATTTTGAATTCTCCACCTGCAGGAATACAGGTAGGAATACATTTTTTGGTGGGCCCAACTTGGTAGAACTTCCCAACACATTTATGTCTCACAGTGTCATTACGTCAGGCCTGTTGTTGACAGCAGTGCAGTGATCACCCTTCCTATTCCAGCCTTTCCAACCTGTGGTGATAGAAGAAAATAGCAATCAATCGGAATGCAGGATACACATAAACACAATCAACACCACACTATAAGACGTGCATCGGCCCACCACAGACACATTTAGGCAATGAAGACGACATAAGAGTCAAAATCAAACAGTTGCGATGTACAAGGTAACACAACAACGCTACCTTAAAAAGCTAAATCTGTGGGGCTCCCGAGTGGCGCAACCGTCTAAGCGTTGGCCCTATCATCAGGAGATCGCGAGTTCGATCCCTGGTGATGCTACAGCCGTCCGTAGCCGGGAGTCCAAGAGAGCACAATTGGCTTCGCTCTCTCTGGGTGGGTGGGATGGCCCCTCCTTTTCCCCCCATCACTCAGCGCGATGCTAGTCAGCGCAGACGTCTGTTAGCTGACGTAACAGATCTGGCGGTTGGCGCTTTCCTCCGGCTGTCCAGTGACGTTGCGTGAGCGGCAGCTCGAAAAGAAGCGGTGGTGCTTCACAGGTCTCGGAGGAAGCCTGTGTTAGCCTTCACCCTCCTAGTGCTGATAGCATCGTGTGATTGGGGGAGTCCTAACTAGCGGGTGGAATTGGAGACGACTAAATTGGGGAGAAAATCGGGTAAAAAAAAAAGCTAAATCTAATCGTTGTAGTCCAGGAGTCGCAACCCAAATGTGAAGAAGAGCCATTTTGTCCTTTCAACAAAAATCTAACCACCTTGGGAGCCACAACATTTTTTGTCTGTTTTACCGTTTGGCTGTAAATCTGTCTCAGTATGTGCTAATGTGCTAGTATAGACTAAAAATATAATATAAATAAAAATGCAGACTTACTTTGCTCTGCTTTAAGCTTTAGCTCAGCTATAGCCGCTTTTCTCGCATCTCCAGCAGGAAACTTTTCTGCAAAAGTTAAACAGTTTCTTGTAAAACGCTGACTTTACGAGACTGAAGTCGCCTCTCATTCGCCAGATTCTTGTTCGAATATTTCCGGTCCACCTTAAGTGGTGCCTGAGGTGACAGAATGTAACTGCTGCACCATTTAAGGTGGAACGGGAAAATTTCAACAGGAAGCTGAAGTGTTTGACAGTTTCCCGTGGCACATTAAACGTATCAGGAAACCAGCTGGAGTGATTATAAATGCAAATAAGTCCGCTCATCTCCAGCGTTCGTCTTAAATCTTTCTCTTTGCTTTTTTGTTAGCTACTAGCTAGCCGAGATTGTTGCTATGGTGACCAGCAGTCTGCGCTGATCTTCAGGGTTAAAGGGTGAATTAGCAGTTCTACATTAACTCCAGAGTTTAAGACCATTTATTGTTAAACTGTGTTGAACGATCAGCAGAGCTTTATTTTACTGTAAAGGAGGATTATTTTATTTTTACCTACAAATCTAATTCTGCTGTGGCCGCATGTTGCCGACCCCATTCTTGGCTAAAGCAAGAACAATACAATGAACCTAAAGAAGACAACGTGACTGAGATAAAATCTGACAGCCAGAATGTGCAAAGATGAGGAAAAACAACTTAAAATCCAAAACTATGATGAAAAATGGGCCCCATTCACCAGAATCTTCCTAAGTTTATTCTTAAATGTGTTCTTGATAAAGGTCCTAAGAAAAAGTCTACGTCAGGTTCATGACGTGTTCTTAAAGCACAGAACTGTTCTCACCTTTGTGCTCTTGAGTTTGTGTAGATTCTGTTCTTACCAAAGAACAAATCCCAAACAGGAAAATACTGTTGAATGTCAGAATCTTCGTGAAAACTGCTTAAGTGGGTTTGAAGAAGAAATTCCTTCTTCAGAACGGTTGGTGAATGAGACCCAGCGTTATTATGTCTTGCCTTTGATGACTCGATGCATTGAAGTAACATTAGAAGTTTGACATTTTAACAAAGTTTATTTCAGCTTTTGTACTAAAAGAGCACTGTAAGTACCAAATTCACAGAAAACTGATGACATCAACAGGTTTTAAATTTTTCGTTTTGGATGGGCAGAAAACGACGTAGTCTTCAGGACGGAATCTCACTTTTAAACGTTTTAAACGTTTTTGACCACAGCTGGAGCTTCACATTGAAACACTGGCGCGACTGATAATAAACCGAAGGCTTGAGGCAATGGCGGACACTTTGCCAGCACTTCACTCACAGTAACTTCACACACATTCAGCAGAAACACCAGTGCTATCACAATAAGAGTCCTGTATAATTCTACCGTTAAACTTAAGTTTACTTGATTTAATTAAACGCTAAGATATTGGTTAAACTATATCCTTTTTTCTACTAGTACTACTAAAATTAGTTGTAGTAATTTATTATTATTATTATTATTATTATTATTATTAGTTGCTATTATCATTTCTATTGTTGTTGTTGTTGTTGTTATTATGTTATTATTATATTATTATTATTATTATTAATATTATTATTATTATTATTATTACTAATAGCTGCAGTAGTAGTGTTATCGTTTGTGGTGACAGTAGAATTGCTTATAAATATTGCCTAAGAACCCTTTAAATGGCCAGTTTTAATACAAACTTCTATAACATAATAATAACTCAGCCTGTTTGAATTAAAGTCCCTGTAGTTACTGTATAAGAAGATTATGTAATCCTAGTTTAAGGGGTTAAATGAGTCTATATATTATATTAATACATTAAGTTCTTACAAAAAAATATGGGACACATTGTTTTTTCCCCACCCAGCCACCTTTGGAGGAGACCCCCTGGATAGTAGCCTCAAGCTCATTTCGAGGAACCGTCAGTAAACCTGATTTGTTTTGTGTTTCTTCTCACAGGGGAGATCTTTGAGCTGAAGGCAGAGCTGAACAGCGATAAGAAAGAGAAGAAGAAGGAGGCGGTGAAGAAGGTCATTGCCTCTATGACGGTGGGGAAAGATGTGAGGTGAGTGAGAGGACACGTGACGTCACTCAGGCCATTAGCGGCGCTTATGGTTATGTGTGTTCATAATTACACTTCACTCATGCAAGGTTAAGGGTATATATATATACATCATTTATTAGAGAGCGGAAGGAACACGCCAGCATTTTTCAACATATATCTCTCTGCGGTATGTGTAGCACACGGTCCAATACCGCTGACAGCAATGTTTGCACATTCCACCGTACTTAGAACAGAAAACGCGCTCATAATAGAAGACAGTGGGAAGATGCTGAAGCATTCAGCCTTATTGTCTGTGGTAGTCAAGCATACAATGCAGAGGCAGCAGATATTAAGTATATGCTCTGATCTGACTTCTTAAGTCTTGCTACCAATTTCAGTACCTGAGCTCAGCAGTCCCAGTCTGATATTTCTTTTTTCTTCAATTTAAATTGTGTATACACCTCCTTTAATATGCTGTTACAATCGAAGAGTTCCTGAGGTGCCCATTGTAAGCAACTTCGATAGGATATTTAAAATAAACTTGACAAGTATTTCATATTTAAACCTATTCTTTTGATTTGTTCAATTGCTAATCTATTCTAACATATATATCACCCATCTGACAGTCTATGTTAAATTGGTATAAAATGTGAAAGTCTGATAAATTATTATTATTATTATTTTTTTACTAATGAAGCTCATGTGAAGCAACACAGAAGTAGAATTTGGAACGACGCTTCCATTTTAGGCTGGGTGTGCACTACTCTATTTTTAGCCCAATTTTAAGCCCAATTTGCCCCTTCCGACACATTTTCACAATCTGAAGCGATTTTCCAGGTTGGGAGCTCAATCGGAAGCGACTGATGGTGGGGATGATCTGGTAGTGTGAAAGGAGAAACGAGTGAATCTTTAACCCTGCAATCGAACTCTGAAGTGACCAGAGACCCTCTGATACCATCAAACATGTTTAATATTTATGACTCCTGCAGTGTGAGAAGCTGAGAGGTTTACTCAACATGTGATTTAAACAACAGCCAATCAGAGAGCTAGAAGAGCGGAGAAACAGGCCAAGAGACGTGTATGAACAGCAGAGGAGCTGCGTGTAAAACACAGACAGATAAGAGAAGATATCATGTTTATAATGTTGGATCCAGACGTCAAAACTCTCTCTTTACAATTTCAGCTCAGCTGGCAGTTTGTAGTGAAATACAGGGTGATTCAAAAAGATTCATTCGATTTCAAAATGATTTGTTTCTCTTGTAAATCGTTACAGATCAATGCAGTGAACTGTAAATGGTTTAAATGAGCATAAAGTTTATTATGTAATGTTACAAGTGCTCAGTATGAACCTCCTCCAGCTGTACAGACAACATC